AATTGTTTTATTTAAGATTAATTCTAATTTTTGCATTACCAAAATTGCTTCAAAATCACTTTAACTTTAACACTGGAGAGGTTATTCTATAAAATGGCATCATAAAATTAACTTTAATTATATCATAGTAAAATTATGTTTGTATTTTTCTTTTTTAGTAATCATTTATTATATTGAATAATTCATTATAGTAATAACAAATTTTCTTATAACAAAGGGCTGATCAGCCCAAACGCCAACTTCGTTATATTGAGATATAACTGTAATGCATACATAATACAAATCTCTATTCAGTGTTGTAGTTATAGTTAAAGAACTGTTTTCAACTATGTAACCTAAAAAATAAAGGTGATAAGTAAGTTAATATTATAGCTTATTATTATTATTATACTTATTAGATGTAATATAAGTATTAATAATAGTATAAAATTAAATGAAGATATATAAAATATTACTGTTACTATTCTCTGATATTTATAAGATATATCAGTTATACTAATCAGGCAAATGCAAATTCTGATTTTAGTATTTATAGTATAAAAAAGGCTTGTATTCTGCATGTTTAAAACTAAAAATTCATTTTTAATACTAGTTTTTTGAATAGGATTGAAACTAACTTTCTTCTAACTAAAACATAAAAAACATTTAGCAATTTTTAAATATCTAAGATGCTTATATGTAATTCCAAGTAATTGATGTGCATAAAATCTTTCTATACTTATTATTATAAATTAAAATACTTGAATAGGATTAAATGCTTATGTTCTAGTAAAAATAATATTTTTTAATATTGTAAAACTTTAATCAATATAATTGTTGGTATTATTTTCACATATAGATAATCTTGTACAAAAATATAGGATCTAAAACTGAGGTTAATCCTATGCAAGTTAAAAATAGTTTTGCAATAAAAGATATAATTAATAAATATTCTGCTTGAATTCATAATAACATATGTCTATTTCTGATTCTGATCATACATATAAGGCCTTTGCAATAGAAAGGGGGGAAACTGCCGGAAAAATTAATTTTACTTTTATATGCCAAATATGATTTTTAGGCTGAAATATGTTCAAATTTAGCATTAACTCATTTTGATTTTTCTGGCAGTTTCCCCTCTTTCTATTGCAAAGGCCCTATATGACAATCTTTTTTATTGATTTATAATATTCATTCAATTCTCTTTCTTAATACAATATTTTAAGTCATAAATCCATCTCCAAAATGTTTGCATAAATTGAAATGTACATAGAAGGTGGATTTCTTTTAGCTAAAAAATTACTAGAATATTGCATTCTGTGCTTGAATTATCTGTAAGAAAAACTATCAATCCAATTTCTAAACTGTATCTATAAAAGCACAAGGTAAAAGTATCATTTTTAATAAATTCAACTATATTATTTTTAAATTTTAAATAAATTTAATAAAATTAATAAATTCTAAATAAATAAATGCAAATAAAATGTTAAATAAACAATTCTTTAAAAAAATATACCACTTTTCTAACGTAACTTCATTTTCATCTGATGTAATAACCAGCTCAAAAGGAAGTATTACAATTATACAACTGGTATATAAAAAGGTTATTGATGTATTTAAGGAATTGAATAAAACAGATGTGTATTTTACCTGTTTGAAGTATTTTTTCATATATTTGAACCATTAAATTCATTACAATACAAAGAATAAAAACATTTTTCATATTTGCATCATACTTTTACAATGCTACTTTATCATAATCTGAATCTAAGATTGCTTGTCTAAACTCATTTTGGATTTGGCTAAACATCTAAATCTTTAATTTCACTAAATTTTTACTAAGTGTTTGATATAGTTTCACCATTTTTGTAAGCTTTGATATAATTTTACCTTTTTCTGAATTTCACAGATTTTTTAATATGATTTTAATATAATTAACCAAGTTTTACTTTTACCATTTAGACATCTATCTAAACTCTAAATTTTGTCTAAAATCTTACTTGAATCATTATAATTTTTTATAGTTTCTGTTAAATGGTTAAACATTGATTGACCATTTTTACTACCAAGCATAGCTTTACGATATTGCTAAAAGATCTTTGCAATATAATCATAACCTAAATTTTTAGTCAATCTGCTAGTAATTCTAATAGATCTTATTTATTTATAATATTAAGGTATAGATTATCTTCGTAAGTGTATAAAACTGAAGATAATAAATGTCTATCCCTAAATGAGTTAATGAATTTCTGGTGGACTTCTTTGTCAATATACTAAAAATTCAGAGGTTCAGCCGAATTAATAATATATTTATGTGTGAATTTTAATTCAATTTCTAACGAATAGCTATCAGGAAGTTTCTGCTATTCTAATCAAAAATGAATGATATCATTATAGCCTATATCACGTGTTCAAACAGATTGTGGATATTTTGTTTTATGACTGCCTTATTTTTCTTTACATTATTACTGTACATACAGTGACATATTTCTCTAAAAGGAATTCAGCTTCCTTTAGTGTTAAAACTTCTCATTTGTGTTATTGTTGTCTTTGACCATAATTGAAATGTAATAAACCATTTGCACACATCTTCTTTACTATTAGCATTTATATATGCTTTCAGCTTAAAGTGTGTAACATCAAAAATTTCAGCAGTTCAATATGGTGGTATAGTTCATCAAATTTTTCGATTAAATATTTACCATAATATTGTGGAAGAATATGTTTTAAAACATCTGAAAGTGAATTCTAGGAGTAGATCTATAGATAATAAACATTTTTAAGAGACAAACTTTATTTAATAATTAAAAAACTATTTACCGATAATTATTAACATAATTACAAATAATAATAAAAACTATAAAATAAGCGATATTATTAATAAAATTACAATAATAAAACTCTATAAAATAACTAAATAAATATATTATTATATGCTAGATTTTTTTTAAAGCATTTTAATAGTAGTATTTTCAGCATCTTTCATATTGATATGTTATGTAACTTTTTTTATAACTAATTTTTTATTAGCACTTTTAACATTTATTTAAATATATTTTTTTTATAAACAAGAAACACTTTTGAATGGTTTACTTGGAAAAGAGAGTAATAATAAAAGATATTGTTGCTTACTAAAGATCAGGCAGATCATTTGACACTTCGGCGTAACCTGTTACACATTTCATAAATTTGTTTTTGTCATGTGACCTGTTTTTATTTAGGATTGATTTCAAACCTCGTGTATGTGTATCATTTTTATACAAATCCGTACATCACACGAGATTATAATCGATTTTTTTTTTTTTCAAAAAAAAAATCCTTCTAAAGGACACCACACGACTTACTTTCTCTACTTTTCTGTTCTTCTCTCCTATTTCTCCTTTTTTCCCCCTGTTCTTGTTCTTTCTCTCCCCCTCTTCTCCCCGCGAACACAGTCTTTCGCAAGGCACATTCTGTTTTTGTGTCCCACTCTCCACACATGAATAAAAACCTAAAATTCTACTTCCTCTACATATAAACTTTTTTTAACAGAAGTTCTTTGAAAAACAGCATGTAAAAGGTCTACTGGTTCTGGAGGAGGGATTGGTTATGTACCTTCCTTTTACGGTCAAAGAGCTTCACCAGATAGAAACTGGTTACAAAACTTCCAGAACGGATAACTGGGATACCAAACGCCCAGAAGAGACAGAACTGGGAAACAAACCGCCCAAGAAGGAAAACTTGGGGCATGGATGACGTAGGGAATAATAATAATAAAAAAATAAATTTTAGATAGAAACCCAAAGGCACTCTCTCCTTGCATCGTTGGATTGTGGGTTTAGATAGACTGGGAACTTTGCTTGGTAGATGAGAGCTCTATTTTTTTTTGGGTTGCGATTAGTACTGACGTCCTCGTCGTGCAACCTGGGTACTAGGATTCTAGTAGCGAACAAGTACTATTATATTTTCTCGGTTAAGGTTCTTTAATCTCTGTGAACTTTATATAATTTGTATGTGTAGTTATTTCTCTTTATTCGTAATTTTCAATATTAAATAAAGTTTTGAAATTTTAACTTGAAAATAATGGGAATTTTTTTTTTCGCGTTAATATCCGATTTAAAAAAAAAAGCTTTACGGGATTTAACGAGTTTGTCATTAATTTTTCTATTAAAATACGCCATGTATGCTTTAAAGCGAGAACCAGACTTGAAAAATGAAAATAAATCTTTATTTGAATTATTACTCAATTAATTTTTATGTATGACAGATTATTAATATAAAAAAAAAACAAAAGAAAAAAAATTAATCAAATTCTAGTTGAAAGAAGTATGAAATTCTTTGCCACTTTGTATGTTCTTTGCTTTATACAAGACTGTTCTTTTTAAACCGAGTTCTGTATCTAATTAAATCATTTATTCAATTTTTTTTTTGTTAAAAAAAATAAGTATTACTACGCCATCTCCATTATAATAATTGGCAGAACTGTTCCTCGTTTCATAATGTCCATATCCATGTTTGTTTATTAATGTAAACTGTATATATTAATGAATGAACAACATTTTTTCACAACGTACAAAATGAACAGTTTAAATTAATCAATGTTGTATGAAATTTGTGGACTTATGATATTTAAGTTTACAAAAAAAAAAAAAAAATGAATAAAAAAATAATCGATTTTCAAAATCGATTTTCGATCAAAATACATATTTAGTGTAAATGAAAATTTAAATTATAGTTTTCAACAGCTATTTGTAAATGAGAATCCAATACCATATTTACACATGTTATTATAAATATTATAAAATGTTTTTATTATTAAATAAAACTTTCATGAATGCGATAAAGGATAGCAAAAATTCAAAAAAAAAAATTGTACGATAAAAGGAAAAAAAAGTAAACTATCAAATGAAGATTGAAAAGTTAATAAAAAAAGGTTTAATGAAATAATTTTTTTAAATGCAAAAATGTAAACTAATAATAAATTTTATGACCTCCATGAATTTACCAAATATTAATAAAAATAAAATCTGGATATGCACACTTTAACCGGTAAAGCCTCTGCATTGGAAAGCAAGGGCAATACGCTGTTTAGCGTCTGATGTTGTATCGCAAGTTACTGAGGTGCCACGGGAATTTACAAGCGGAAGAGCGAAACAACTCAAAGTTGGCCCACATTCAAAGAGAACGAATTTGCTTTGGTCACATTTGGCGAATTTTCCATTGATGCAAGCGACTTCATTAGTCGTACAAGGGCTGTCCGGTGTAAGTTTTTTGAATTTTTTATTCGAGGCTTTAGCATCTAGAGCGTTGAGTTTTTGGATGCAAGATTTTTTTTTTGCGGAAACGTCAATTGCTAATAATGCGAAAATAGCAAAAATAACAAGAATAGCAGAGAATTTCATTTTTGTGAAAGAAGTTTGAAAATTTTTTAAGTTGTTTCAAAAAATCAAAATAATTGAGTAAAGAAAAATTGACTGAATGTGACCTTTTTATAAAAAAAAATAATGATGTGATGTTTATATTAAATTCAAATTATTAATAAACACAAAAACGCGAAACATAAAACATATCGGTGACTTATTTCATACTCATTGCTTATTGGTTCATTTTTTATTTTACCAATTTTAAACATGTGAAATGGAATTTTATGGGGTGATTAATATTTTGGTAAAAAGAATTACTCTTTATAAATAAGCTTTTTATTTTTGCACAACTACTAAATTGGATAAATCAAGATCATTTAGCGAATCCCTAAAAGATTGTCAAAGATTTTTTCCTTTCTAATGATGGTCGGTTACTACGATTATTCGGATATTAACTACCAAACATCCGATCGGGGGCTTTTCTTTTCTTTCTTATGAAACATGAAATTCCGATTATTCAAAAAAAATCTCATATTACATTCTACTAAGGAAATCATTTTTTAAAATGGAGATCAGCGCTCATTGTTACACGTATTTTATAACCAGTAGTTAGTTGAATTGACTGTGCAACTAACGCCAACCATTTTTCATTTAGTTCGCAATAAGGTTATTATGTAAACAAAAGTTTGCTCTCTGATTTTCAAGTGGTCAGAGATGGAAATCAAATACGTCAAGATTTAACCAGATTTAGTCTTGTATCACTTGCCAAGAGTGTCTTGTATATTAGTGATGTTTGTAAAGGATGAGGCTTTGGTTTTTTATATAAAACCGAGATTGATACTTCAAATTGCAGAGGATATGAGACCTTTGTGATAGAAAGGTAAAACTGCTGGATATTCTAAATATGGCCTAATTTCTCACGTCTTTAGCGATATTTTCTAGTAGATAATTTTCTAAATCAACGGAAAAAAGTTGAAAGAATTCCGAGAAGAGGTTATTAAAGTAACAATGGAATTATTGAATTTTGTTGGAGCCGCAGTTAAAAAATGATTTTAATGATTTTGAGAGAGTAAATTAAAGTTTGATTCGTATGTAATCGGGTAATTAGAATAAAAGGTATGAAAATGTTGCTAGTAAATGGATTTTTTGACTAAAATAAGATCTTATTGGTTTTATCAAAAACTAAAATGCAAAAAAAAATAAAAGAACCTGGTTTACTTAGCAATCTCCCATATTATAAATTTTTACGAATCTCCATTGGCAATAATAAATCTTCTGTAACTTATCTCATAGTAAAGTTAGTTTTGTTACTTGTGAATAAAAGTGATTTTTTTCCTTTATTAAATTTTGTTAAGTAGAGTATCAAAAGTTAACAGGATAAATTAAAAGTAATAAAATCTAAATATTCTAAAATTTTTTATGTAATCTGACTTTAATTAAATAAAGATTATTTTAAGTTCAAATATATGCTTTGATTGGTTTAGTAAATCATAAAAAAAATCATAAGGTTTTAAATTGATTAAAGTAATATTTTGAATGAAGAAACTACACTACATGGTATCTAGTTGATACCAAGAAACCTTTGCGATCTGGAGCGATTACCATTCTTGTCTCATCACCAAACCCACAATATTATAAGGAGTTCCTTAAATTTCCATACGCGACATTGCGATATATGCCAATTTGGAGTTTAGATGAAATTAGTTATTGCAAGAATATCTTATTTCCAGATGATGAATCGATTTTTTTGATAAATGGAGATTCGTTTTGGAAAAGATAAGCGATGATAAGACATTGGGTAGTTTTCTTGAGAAGGCACTAGGTACCTCACACGAGAAAAGTTTTTTATTAATAAAATTCATTTGAAATAAAGTACATATATAAGCTGCATTATAGAGTGTATCTAAACATACACCAATCTCGTTCACTCATTTCATTCGTGTCTATAGAAAGAGAACTAGAATAAGCGTGATCATATGAGTGATCTTAGACCGGGATAGAGCAATTTCCTCCTAGTACTCTGTCTGAACCACTGGCAAAGCTGTATTAGTTTAGTAGTCAATATTTCTCTACAAAGCCGGAAGCCGGAAGGAGCAATTTATATTAATTAAAAAATTAGAGATGAGTTTTTTATTATTATTATTTAATGCTTTGCCTTGCAGCCTCCAGAGGTCATCCATGGAGCGGGGTTAAGTAAGTTCCGCTCCTTTAGAGTGAAAACAAAAATTCGAATTCAATATGATGTTCGATTGCCCTTGCTCTTTCTTACTCTTGCCAATATATAATTTTTTCCAACGCAGTAAATTCAAATTGTGGTCGTAAAATAATAACAAAGTTCAATCATATCTTGAAACGTAAAATTAGATTAAAAATGGTCTTAATGTTACGCAATAAATATCTCCAACTTCACCTTTTTTTTTTGCTTGAGAATGCGGCATTATTCTGTTCTTCGTAATAAATGAATTTCCTTTTTTTTCTTTAAACAAATTGCTTGTTCTACGAAAGGATATTTGTTAAATAATAGAATCTAGGAAAAAAATTTCGAATATAAGTCGTAATATGATTAAGTTTTGAAAATAAACGTCCTATAACAAATAAAATAATGTCAAAATCCAATAATTTTTAACGAGTTCTCAAAAAAAAGTTCGCAATATCTGAGATAAATACCATTTAATCATTCTTCTTGGACTTTAAACTTTGAGGCTCGTTGGTTAGAAAGTCAAGTTTACCTATTTAAAAAAAAGCGTATACATACTAACGGATATTGAATTAACAATAGAACGAAGCGTCACGGGCTCTTTTAACTCTTAAAACGTACAAAAGTCAAAGAATTTCTCACATGTTCGGCAAGGCAGGTTATAAAAAAACGAACGCGTATTTTAACTAAATAGCAAATAATTAGTATAGAGGAGATTAGTTCTTACGCGTTGGGATTTATTGTATTTGTACAGATAACCAGAGTAAAATGACATTTTCTTCAAAAACTTGGGTTGGGAAAATTTTCTATGATTATAAGAGTCGCTTTACTATTGCACAAATTATTGTATTTTTATTAGTCTGAAGTGTAATTACGAAAATGAGTAGTGCTTCCAGAAAAAATCAATTTTACTTTTATATGTCAAAAATGGTTTATAAGCTAAAACATGTTCCTTTCTATTACAAAGGCCCCCCCCCCCCCATTTGGTTAGGGTATTTTTTGGCTAATTGATAAACAACAATTAGGACTAGTAATTCAAAAAATAATTCGAGGTTTCTAGATCTTGATATTTTATGGTTAGGATATGTATCCAAGATAAATTTTTCCCACGTCACTTCGGGAATAATTTTTGTCAACTGTGAAGTGGGTCTCAAATCCATAATATCACTATGGCATAAACTGATAACAAAACAATGAATAAAACAGGTTCATATAATTATGGGAGACGATTTTACTCACTCAAATCTGCTTTCACTCTCATCGCGGTACTTTTCGAAAATTTCTTCCAAATTTACATTATCCACTTTCAATATGCCACTTCTCACTTTACCAACCATGGACTCCACTGCTTCTTGTAAATAATCATCCGTAACATTGGTTACAATATCGATGCTATTGTCTTCATGATAGTCCTGAATTTCTGTTGTCAATGTTGAAGAACGTTATTTATATAAGAATGGTTAATGATAACAAAATTGTAGTGGTAGTGCCAAACATACCAGTTCGCATTGTATTAAACTCTGCGTCAGATTCTGGTAATTCTTGTTGCACTTCTCGCTGATGATGAAAATTAGTTGGTAAATTTGTACTTTCGATTTTATTTGAATATTGAGTAAGCTGTTCACAGAAAGAAGTGTTAGAATAAGCAAATACGATCCAGATCCTCTTACAAATGCTCTACTATAACTAATTAGCGTTTTTCCGAATATGATAAGGTGCCCCAATGAGGCGGTTCGAATAGCATTTTCTTCCTCTTGTAATTTTTCGATTTCCTTCCAAAAATTGGTCACTTTTTTCCTTCTTAAAAGAAAAATACGCGTCAATATCTTTAAACGATGCATACATAATTGTGTAATGTGCTGTAGCTGGCTAAACTTCATCTGGACACAAGAGCAAACCGAAGATGCTTTTGTAGGTGAAGCCCAAACCGCAGTTTATCATAAGAGCAAACCGAAGATGCTCTTACTTGGTAAAAGCCATAACTCATCATTACTCGAAACCGAAGATCAACACAAAAACAAACCGAAGATGTTCTTGCTTGAGTAATATAAGAATGATAAGAAGAATGACCAAGAAAAACAAGTACTTTACCTCAAACGCGTCCAAAGCACTTTTTGCGTTGACTCCAAGTTCATGATCGTTCTTAAGGTTAAGTAGTGTAGTACAATAACAGCTATTTTCTATTTGAATTTCTTTCACGAAAGAAGTTTGTTCCCTTCTCTGTATCAGGTACTCGTAAAAATGATTGTCACATTCGCTTCTGAGTACGGCTTTGGCAACAACTTCTCTTTCTTCGTTTGCATTCATAACTTCCGTATAGAAAGAAACACTTGATTTTTTGATATTGACGCGATTGATAAATCGGGGGCTTAGATGCTACACAAAATCTGATTAGGCGATCATTTCGTGATTGATGAATGAGCCAACTCACTCATGACATCCTTTATGAATCTGTTTTCACCCCGAAGTTTTTTGAACAAGGGGTATAATCGAATAAAAATCTCTCACATGGGAGATTCACCTACATTAGCATTATAAATTTATTTACACTATTTTTAGGTATGAGCTACAGAGCATCGCTAGTGTAGAATGAAGAAAATGTTCGATATCATATTTGTAATGAACTTATGTATACAGAGTGCTCGCATCTATTTTGTATGGAACAAAAGATAAAAGAGACTAACGATGGGATGTATTGGGTTTATAAAGGTCGGAGGCCTGAAAAGATGAATTTGGAGTAATTGGGTTGCAAGTTGCTGGATCTATGTTATGACTAACTGTTCTTATCAGGGATGGAGCTAATGTAAATAGATATTATCATTTATATGAGTCAAAAGTTCCTGTGCAAAAGTCAAAACCAGCTATTGTAGCGAAATTTATAGAGACTTTACTAATTTTGCATAATATTTTGAAAGTCAATATGTCTTTACTTCCTCATGCGTCTACACATAAATCAGATAGACAGAAAGAAGATAATACAACTGTAGATTCTGAATAAAAAATATTAACCCATATTTGACTTGTTATATGTGTTTTATATTAATAAACCACCCAAGTAACATCTACCATAATTACATTTCTTTGCTTTTTTTCGTGTGGGATATGTGCCAGATAATAAAACTTTTTTTGGCAAATTTGCGAGACCGCCGGTCTCAGAAAACACGTGATCTTTTACTTTTGAATATTAATATATATAACATAAATAATACTATATTACGCAAGCATTGCAATCTGAAATAGATGATTCCAGAGTGACTGACTCATTAAAACGATGCATTGCTAAGCTTGAGGTTGAGAATGATAAAATTAGGGCCGAAAATGTTGAGCTTAAGGCTTGAGTTGCGAAATTAGAAGATAAGCAATTGCAAAATGAACTAATAAAAAATTTAACATCTGTACCACGTGATATAAAAACCGTTAACAATGCAATGTTAACAATCAAAGTCACATGTTTTTCTAATAGCGAAGCTAATATTTTTAGCTGATCTGCTAGATGTGTCATGAAAATAATACGTGAATTTATTTTTTTCTTCTCTAAATTCCTCCCTTATACCTTTGGTACTGCGGAAGATAAGTCAACTGCTAAGTAAAATTTTTTTCTTGATAAAATCCGTTAACAGATATCCTGATAATTCTGATTTATCACATGATATAAAACCCTTTAACAATATTAAGAGGTTTTCTGAAAATTCGCCAAAATAATCAAAACACTTTCTCCTAAAGATTTTTGATTGAAGGACAAATTCTCAGAATTTTTATTATCTATAAGAAATGACTAGCATACTAACACCATTTTTTCACATATATTACTTGAAGCAACTTAACCAACTTCCTCGATCTATCAAAATAGATATATGGTGACGCCTTACATCTTGAAAATATCTATTATTGCTGGAATAGGCAAGTAGTATTCATCCTGAAGTGAAAGATTTGTTAAATAAAGCAGTTAAAAATTATATTAAGAAAAAAAAGCATCAGAAGATGAAGCCTATTACTAACGACTGTGAAACTTCGTTAAGGCAAGAAAATGAGGAGTTATGTATATCAAAGCATGTATTGGAAAAAAAGATCAAAGAGTTTCTCGATTTGCAAGAGCAGTATAAGTCTTGTGAGGTAGCTATGATCAGGTCTTTAAAAGAGAGTAGTGAGAAAGTCACCCAATTATCAAATTCAGTATCCTTTTTAAAAAGTATAATTTCTGATACGAAAAAAGCCATTGCATTAGCTGAAAAGTCTATTAACATGCTAAAAGTCAAATGCTGATATCTAAAGGATATTATTTCCATTAAAGATAGAAAAATTATCGCTCTGGTTAATTGGATATCTTTCTACACAAAATATAGTGATATAACTATAGAACTAAAAATATATTCCAGCACTATGAAAGAAAATTATAGGCGAAGAGGCATAGTGAATCTGAATATGATTTAGAAGCCCAGAAAAAATATACATTTCGTCTTACTTCATCAATAGCTTTGAGGAGGATTTTATTCATTAGTTGAGATACTTTTTTCAAGAATTTAGTTCTATCCTAACTGTATCCTGTATAGATGCTCACGAAGTACAATTAGATTGAAAACAATGAATTTTTTCTCATATAATGCCTTATCAATAATCTTAATCACACTACGCCAGTTATTAGCATATTGATACACAATTCTGGCTAACTCATCTTTAATGCATGACCTATTAAATAGGCAGACATATATAAGATTTTTTCGTATTATTTTTGGACAATCAAAGTAACTCTGGGATACATATATTGAACTGATATTATAATAGCGTCTCTCAACAAAATAAGAGACAATTTTCTCTTGCACTTTTTTTGGACATCTTCAAATATAGGTACTGTACCTCTATCTGGAGAAAAAGAATCCACTTTAGGGATTTTATCAGGTTTTATTGCTCGAAATATAATATCTTCACAATATAGTTTTGAGCTATTTGTAATTATCTGATAACCAGATTTGAAATACAAGTATTTCAGCTTCTTAAGATTATGAATGATGAGTAAGTAGTATATCATCATACTTGATATAGCGTGTCTCTTCTTTCTTTTCATTAAACATTCGATAAAGCTTATTTCTGAACATGAGATTGAGAAACCTCATTAATTTTTTCTAAATTAGTATGACCATAAATTAGTAAAGTGAAAGGTCATTAGAAAACACTTGAATATCTGTTATATTTTTTGGCATCTTTAATCTCATTATTATAATATACAAGCCTATCAACTGGCTTAAATTTATTTATTTTCATATCAAATGGAGTATTATTAATAATAGGATTCCTCAAAATCGAATCAAATCAAATATTTAAGCAATTTAAATTTGATTTGATTTTTTCAAATCGAATCGAATTGAATCAAATTGAACTCAAATATTTGATCAAATCAATTTGAATCGATTTGAATTTGACTGAATCGATTGAATCGAATTGATCAAATCGAATTGAATATAATTTTTTTTAATTTTTACAATGATATATTAAAATAAAGTTATTCTAAAGTTTTAATTAAGAAAATTATTAG